TAAATTTTCCGCCCATGGGTAGAGAAATTATCTCCGTCTAGTTTGCCTTTAAACGAAGAGGCAGGATAGATTGGAGAGAATAAATTTCCTTGTAAAATACTTTCAATAAGTATGACTAGTAACTAGGCGAGTTTTTCACAGTTGGATCAATATGAATTATTCAAAATCTGCCAAAAATCTATGAATTACGTAAGTCTAGTAGTCATCTGGTGGATTCTAGGTGAATTACTTAGGAAATCCTGCTTGGGCATTCAACTTACTGTATCAAATTTGGTGGATTCCAGACGTTGCAGTAGGCTGGGTGGGTAACTTGACCTAAATGTGATTAAACTCGCGTCCTCAGACGGGGCCTCCTAGCTCAAGTAGTTAGAGCGTCGGCTGAACTAAAGCCTTTCGCTTACTGCGTGGGTTCAAATCCCACCGAGGCGCCGAGTTTTTCATAGTTGGGTCAGTATGAATTATCCTCAATGTACTGCAGTTGGCAAAAAATGATTTCTGATTTATACACGCTTAGCAGAGTGGTAAAGAGGCACTTACCGACCGTTGTACAGGACCGACAGGACAACGAGCCTATGGCTCAGTGGTTAGGCGCGTTGGACTTCTATCTAAAAAGTCGCGGGATCGAGCCCCAGGTATTCCGCACTTCGGGGTTGGGAATGACTGGCTGACGACGGCTAATAAGCCATAAATGGTCGTTCCAGTCTCCCTTGTCTTTGTTGGCAATGGTATCCTACCTCGGCCAGTTGTACGCGAACCAGGTCGCGTGTAGCACGCGTAGATGGCACGTTTGACTTTGTTAGCCAGTGCGCCCGAACCGGCCTCCGGTCGTGTTTACTCTGTCTTGTCACTAAACTGTGGTACTTGGGGAGATGTGGCACAAGTCAACTATCAACATAAACTAATTCACGCGTAAACCGCCTTCTCTGCACCCACCTGTGGGCATCGTCGTTTACTCAGGAAAGACGCACACCGATTCACTTGCTTCCCGAAGTAAACAAGCTTCGTATGGATGATGGGGATCGCGAACGGGCAACCACCTACCAGGTCGAAGTCAGCTAGGCTATGA